TAGAAGTTGGGAGAGATCTCTACAGAGAAAGGAGAAATATATTGGGGGATGCTGGTTACGTAATATGTGAGAAGTTGAATATTGATATCACCCTGATGATGCAACAAAAAGATTACATTTTCTACAACTAATGTGTTGGGGATGTGACATTGAATAGAATGGGTTTGATAAAAAGAATGTGACAGGACAATGGTATCTTATAGGGATGAAATGGAGGGAGATGCAACGGTTCAAGAAGGTCAGTATTCCAGAAGGGGTTATCGAGGACAAGTATGTGTGCAAAAGAAGAAGAACGGGTACTGAACCTGGACCATCGAGAATGTAGAAGATATGGCTTCTCATACTTTACAGAAATAGAAAACAGATTTGAGCGGATAGAAAAGTTTCAAGAAGAGCGTTCACATAGTGAGAGGCAAATGCAAGAACGCAAAGTGATTTCAACACGTTTGCATCAAGAATTGAAGAAACAGTTGACCTCATTGGAGACTGCATGACAGAGATTTTCAACATGATGAAGAACTTCTCAACAGCCTCCTACTCCTCTAGTCAACCCACCCCCTGCACCATGATGAAGAATTTTTCCCTTTTGTTTATAAATAGATTGATTTGAGCGGATGTTGTTAATAAAGATTGTAGTTTGTTTATAAATAAAGTTTTCTTTTGTTTATAAATAGATTTGTCTTTTGTTTATATATGCTACACTCTTTTCAATGTATATGTAATACTAGACATACCCAAAGACATAAAAATCACACTGAAAAGAAATGCATATCCAAAATGCCATATACATTAAGTCATTATCATGAATTCACTATCACACAATCAATGACGAAAATACAAAAAATAAAACAACTGTATAAGCATACACAATCAATGCATTCGGTAGAAATTAACCAAACATGAAAAATTTCTACCAAATACAATTCTATATGCTTAACTTGGCAAAAATATCAAACATCTCCAACGAGACATGTTCATCATTTACAAACTCCTGTCAGTATAGAAACTACTTTGTCCTACGAGATTTGGAACCGGACCAGTTGGCATCTGTCATTGTTTAACAACACAATTTAGCACACAGTATAGAAAACTTAAGGCAATTACAATTATACAAGATATATAACACATACTTGTGTAGTAACTACATCATGGACAACACTTGAGTTTCCGCATCGGTCAAGGAAGTACACGAAAGAAACTATTCTTGTTGTCGCCTGTACCGATGCTTTTCTTAAAAAGTATCATAACACAAATAATCAAGTCGATATTATTCTAAACTTCAAATAAGTAAATAAGTTTCAAAAAAACTATTGAAATAATGTATATTTCTGTAATTTTTTCTTTTTAACCCTACGTACAATTTCTTCAATCTTCGATGCTTTCTCTACATGGAGGACGACCTTGTACGACTGCCTAGGACTAATGATTAGGGTATTCCCCTCTTTAGGAGGACTGTTCCATCTTGACTAGTCAAACTGGTTTCAGAAGAGATGTTCACTGTTGTACCAAGCCTCCCTCACTTTCCTTTTGCTCCAACTGTTTCCTCAGTCAATCATAAACTTGTCATATATTATAATCTTCCTCATTGTTGATGCCAGATCACTACTGTCGAATTAATAGACAACTATCAAAACGTGTCCTTCAATGTTGGTGCTCCACCTATTATAACTGACCTTAATTTTCATATGACATCTGTTCACATTCTTCCTCCAACGCCGTAAGTACTTTTTCGGAACGTGTGAAACCCTTTTATGAATCAACACCATAATGACATGTCTGCATAAATCCCCTGAACTCAAACAAATGACAGTAACAACGAATATCACAACGAACTTCATCAAAGTATAAACATGAGGAACACAGCGACTATTATCTCCAAACACAACATCTTCCCAAACTTGAAACTCCTGCATGAATCACATTTTTCAGAAAAGATAACTCACAATAAATCTTCCGGCAATCTCATCTTGAGCTCTTTAAATTTGCAGTTGTGTATGCACTTTGAAATTGTCTCAATGGGGTAATTAGTTATGCATGGTATCCAAGATTTAAAAGATCTAAAATCAGCCTCCCTTTCTTTTTCCACTTTGGCTCGCAATGCATTATCATATGTTCCACAATTGTTTCAAAATGGTTTTGGATGACATACTCATCAAAAAATGCATGCATCCTTTCACTACGTTGGGTAGTAGACATACTGCCCAGAAAGTACCTTTAGAATGCAGGACCACGTACTCTTCTTTATACAATCCACTAACCATGCATTATCGTGAAGGTTGTGCACATCAACAAATGGTTCCACGCGCTCTTCGAACTCTTCACGCGTAAAGGAATACTACCAACATTTTGCAACTTAAACTTGATAGTTTCATATTCCTTATACCCCCTTAACTTTCAGGTAGTTTCTTCATTTAATGCCACAAACACACCCTATGTCTTGTACCAGGGAAAACAATCTCATTGCATTTTGCATGCCTTATCTTGATCAGTGATTATTCTACAGGAGTGACATCCATGATTCAAGCCAAGAATGAAATAGCCATACAAGTCTCAGTGTCTTCATGAGAAATTAACCACAACCTAACAACGTTGAATGTCCATGATGATCACCCCCCACAAAAGCAGCAAATGGCATGTCATACTGTTCGTCAGATACGTTGTGTCAAGGTGATAACATTACCGAATTCTTTATATGACCCCTACATCTAGCATCAACCCATAAAATTCTGTAATCGACTCTCTCATCTACATCAATCATGTACCAGAAAATTGAATTTCCTTTGCATTTTCTAAAATACTCAAGTACTGCAAAAGCATCTCCAACTCCAAGTTGTAACTTTCTCACTTTTTCAATGTAGTTCCTACAATCTTTTTCTAGAACGTCAAATTCTCTACACCTCTGCTCAAATGAACGTGACTGAAAATTCTTACACGGTCTAATCCCAGCCCTATCATTAACTTCAAGTCGCCTTCACATAGAGTGTATCGTCCGGTTAACCTTGAAATATCTCTTTTTGTCGGACTGTGAAGATCATGGTTATGTTCAAGTACAACTGATTTAATCCCATTTGCATTCACCATTCAAAGCTGCACTATCGACTCTTACAATCTGTTTTGGCAACAGGTTATTTTTTCAAGGTATTTGGACTTACATCTCTCCTTTCAGAACAAGAACATGCCACTGTCACATATCTCATCTCCCATCTTCGCTTTCTTTGATGTATCATTGCTTCAAATCATTTTGTACCATACCGTTTAATACTTCACCGGACTATCAACTGAATCAAAAACCATTCCAATATGAGGCTCTACTTCCCTCTGCACATCCCATATCTTCTAATTCACGTTCATTTTCCTGATTTAATAGTTTTATAATACATAAATAGAGTACTAATACAACTCAAAATAAATAAACAATACGATACAATAAATTTACCAATATCATTGAAATGAGGAAACTGGACTCTTCCATATTTGAGGCAAACTGGACTTCCATATCTTGAGGCAAACTGGACTCTTTCATATTCTGAGCCAAACTGGACTCTTCCATATTCTGTAATTAGCAATCCAATACTAGTGTTCACGTTCACGAAACTGATTCAAAAATCCGCAACAAATTTTCTGTATCAGTGTTTTTCTATTGTAACATATATTCAATCCAAAATATAATACAAAACTAAATAAATGGATAAGTTATATAAAAATGTTCACGGTAAAAAACTAAATAAATGTAAAATTATATAAAAATGTTTATGACCTGCACAAATCTCTCTAATCTCCCTTTCCTGTAAAAAATGGATCTCTCTTTCGACGTAAAAATGGCTATGGTTTGATGAAATGAACAGATGATAGCTTTCGTATTCACACGGTAGTTGGAAAATGAGGAGAAAACGTTTGTTGCGGGAATAATGGCTGAGGAATGCAGACGCAACACTGAGACGAAGAACAGACGGCAACGATGAAGCAGAAGGGGACGACGAATTTTGGCACTGGTTTTCTTTCGCTCGGAGAATTTTAGCGCTTGTTAGAGGAAGCGTTTGGAGAAGCTAATGTAAACAAAAAACAATATTATTACTAAAACGCGAAAATGTTTTTTTTTTTTTTTAAATTTTAATAACATTATGGACAGGCGTCATAAATAATAGATGACCGTCCATTAGTAGGACGGTCGTCCATAATTAATGCCCGTCCATAATGGATGGACGGCCGTCCCTAAACTTTTACAAATTTTTTATTTTATTTTAATAGGGAGGGTGTCCTATTATATGAACGGCCGTCCTCGCATATGGACGCTGTCCATATAACATGGACGGGCGTCCATGTGAGTGAACGGGTCCAAATTTGATGGACGGCCGTTCACTAGAAAAAAATTATAAAGAAATGGGAGAACGCGTTCCACGTCGGCCGGTACAGAAATTCGGTGCTAATATTTCGATCCCGTAGTGTTATTGTTCTACTAAATACAATGTTTCCCTAAAATATGTACAAAGGAGTTATGTTTTACAACCTTTGCTTTTACTCCATGGGTCCTATTTTATTTTTATATATTTACACTGCAAACCATGAAACCAAAAAGCTGAGTATTTGCCAATGAAAAAAAAAAAAGACTTTTAATTCTAAATTGCATGATATTTACAACATTTTAATAATTTATAACAGTAGCTTAGGCAGGATTTTATCTCATATTTTTGTATTGTTTTTTCCTTCATCAACATCAATGTTTTAAGAAGCTACGACTGATCGCATTGCCAGGAATGGATCAACCCATGCATTGAAATAAGAGGCAAGGGTAGGTTCAAGAGTAAACTGGTCATGAAATTTGTACGATCTATTCATTTAATCAACAAATGCGCTCTCTATATATCCACCACCTCTCTATTGTTAATCCATATAACTCTCACTCCAGTCTTTCCTTCCTATTTACACTGTCTGTCTTTCTCTTCAACCTTTTCTTGAAAGCTATTTAAGTTTCATAGTTTTTTCGTTGATTTGCTCCAAGAATGGATAGTTCTGCATGTTACGACAAGGCGGGTCTGAGGAAAGGGCCGTGGACAGCTGAAGAAGATCAAAAACTCTTGGACTACATTAAACAACATGGCCATGGAATCTGGCCTTTGTTGCCTGCAAAAGCTGGTAACCTTCAAGGGATTTTAACGGAGAATGATCAAAGCTACGTAGCTCAGTTTTATAAACTCTTTATTCATTTGGTTTTTTCTCTTTTGGCCTATTACAGGACTCCAAAGATGCGGGAAGAGCTGTAGATTAAGGTGGATTAATTACCTAAGCCCCCATATGAAGAGAGGAAAGTTCAGCATGCGGGAAGAACAGACCATCATTCAACTCCATGCCCTTCTTGGAAACAAGTAAACACTTTAAATAATTGCTTTGTTAGAATTTAGTACCTTTGAAAAGTTGCTGAGCTATGAACTTGTCATGATAATGTGTAGAGCTTACAAACATTTCTTCTTGTTATAGTAGAGTATCTTTTGGTTGAGTTGTCAGAGCACACCCACAGAAGGAATAATGGATTGCGTTACCCTACAGTTTACTTCTGTTAATGGAAAACTGAGCCTAATAAATACTTTATTTGTTTTGTGACTTTTGTCATCGTGCAATTGATGTACATGTAGTATCATAGCATGTTAATATGTAAAGTATATAAGAGTAATTAGAAACGGGTCTCGCATTACTATTGTTACGTTTTTTAGGTGATGATAGGTCTATTTATCATTATTAGGTGATTTTTAAAAAAAAAAAAAAATGCTCATTTATATCTTTGTCTGTTATTGAGAAAATGATCGATTTCTAATCATGAATGGAATACTTTCGTTCAGGTGGTCCGCCATAGCAAGTCAGTTACCAAAACGAACTGACAATCAAATAAAAAACCACTGGAACACACATCTTAAGAAGAGACTAACCAAGATGGGAATCGATCCTGTGACCCATAAGCCCAAAACCGACGCACTCGGTTCGGTCATTGATCAGTCCAATAAGCACGCCTCGAACCTTGGCCACATGGCTCAGTGGGAGAGTGCAAGGGTTGAAGCCGAAGCTCGATTTGTCAGAGAGATGAAATCAGTGTCAAAGCCTCCATTAGACTCTTCGCCAACTCAGCTAACGAACAAAAGCAGGGTTGGACAAGCTAGACAAGAGTGTCCTGATGTCCTTAAAGCATGGCAAGGAGTGGCTTCCGGCATGTTTGGGATAACTAAAGACAGCCTTGAGTCGCCAGCCTCAACATTCACTATCCAGGAAACAAGCCAATAAACCCAACTTTTGGATTAATAGGCGATAATGTTGTCGTAAATTTAACTCCATGCTTTGAGGAACCGAACCATATGCAAGGATGGAAAGAAAATATGAGTAAGTCAATGGCATTGCATGAAATGATGTACTCCACGGATCAAGCATCGATGGCTGAGAATTTCATCTTCGGAGGTTTGTCAGACATAATGGATTGTGATTCTGGTGCACAGAGTTCGTCTTTGAATGGAGAGTGCTCCAATGCTGCACCTGCATACAATGGAAGTTTTGAGGACGACAAGAATTACTGGAATAGTTCATCTAAGGCCCCAAAAAACTTTTTTAAATTTATATAGTAGTTTATCAATTTCAGAATTTAAATTTAGTTTGAGTGCAATATTGTTTGAAATGAAAGATAAATTATGATGGTAGGACTATTGAACCATTTTTTTTTTTTTTAAATTTTACAAAGAGTAATGTTATATATATAAACTATTTCTCACGAACTGATGTCCCAACCTTACATATTTGATATACATTTATCCTAATTGATTGTTAAGTTTATCTCTAATGCAAGTCACCAATTCACATTAAAATCTGCCAGTTTATATAGACGAGTTTGTATTATTTAGGAGATTTTATCCTTTTACAAGACAAAAAAATATTATAACCTAGGTTCTCTTTTTGTATCGTTTTCTTTCTACATTTTATCACGCCTGTATGAGATATATATGTTTATCTATCTTTATAATGTCTAATAGAAATGTATTACTATAATCCAAAGTGTTTCCAGTTTCATATTCATCAAAAGGGCGGATGTTAAATATTCCATTCCAAACATGAGAGAATAAATAGACCCTTTGGTTGTTTAATTCAATTAAGCAGTAAATATATTAATTAATGTGGATTTTTTTTCATAATTATATAGCTTGGTTAATTAAATCCAAGATGCATTAATTGATGGACCTCACTAAATAAAAGGCACTTGTCTCAATCTCTGCTTTATTTTAATCAATGCCCCAGCTGGATAAAGAAAACCCTAGTGTGTGTGTGCATTAACAATCAAAATTGTAAGTAACAGAATATAGGATTTACAAGATCAAAATTGTAAAAAAGAAGATGAGCTCATTAATTTTAATTTCCTATATACTAATTTAGTACTGAATATAACAGATTGTTACTGTGTTGTCGGAATCAGTGACGAAATAAAAGCTGAAATTGGAAGAGGCATTAATTGATGAATCTAAGTGAAGTGAATTACTTGTCCTAATCCTACTTCTTAGAATGCTCTGCCCATGACAAAATAGAGCAATGTTAACCTTATTCACGAACTTACTAACCACCTTACTCACTTTTATAAATATAAAGTATAGTACAGGTACCATAATCATAGTATGTGTACCATATGTAATTTTAACAAAAGTGAGTAATGTGGTTAGTAAGTTCGTGAGTAAAGATAGTATTTTTGTGACAAAATAATATCTACAAGGGATTCTCGCTAACCTAGTTAACTGTCATGTTTCTCACACACGTGCAAAGAGAATGTCTGAAAAACTTGTAAGTAGGCATTTGAAAGTGTGAAACTACCATTAACATTGATGTATACTTACGTCTGGCCATTTTCGGTCAAATCTCTGGCGGAAAATGGCCATACGACGCACAGAGGTCATTTCTTGTCTTCTGTGCATCGTTAGGTTGTCGACTGCCGGCTGCCGACGATGGTTGCCAGCAGTCGGTTGTGGTTGGGTTGGTGGAGGTGCTTTGTTGATTTTCCAAACTTTTATTATGGGATTATTTTTGCTAAATTTTTAAATGGAGGGGGTTATAATAATCCAAATAATAATCAGTATTAAAAAATAAGATAATAATAATATTTAATTAGAGGACAATTTAGTAATTTAAATAACATACTCACCAATTTATTCCTCCCAACCAAACATATTAATATAACATACCCACCAATTAACCAAACACATTTTTCTAAATATTCTCAATAATCTTTAAGATAATTTAACTTTTCAGTAATCCAACATCCCCTAAATCAAACGTCCCCTTAATAAACAAAAGTAAAAGTACAAAACCCCTTAATTAATAACTAATTCTATCTATAATTAACTATTAGCATATATAAAAGTAAAAGTTGTGAGACAGACAGAGGGATCAAGCACACAGGAAATGAGAATATGGGTATTTTGTTTATGCATCATATATATTTGATAAGAATGGAGTGGTGCTACTGCTGTCAACGAATTCCTGATTATTATTTAATTCATGGTGTCATAATAATGCTGACAGGTATTTTGTTTATGCATCATATATATTTGATAAGAATGGAGTGGTGCTACTGCTGTCAACGAATTCCTGATTATTATTTAATCCATGGTGTCATAATAATGCTGACATGGGTTTGTGTGTTTGTAATGAATACGTTTATTAATAAGCTGAAGATAGAAAACTATTTTTGCCAGTTAAGGTTTTCTATCAATTTTATTATAAATTAATTAATGACAATAGCTTTGTTATTGAAGAATTTTCATGGTATGTAATAACTTGGGAGTATATGTCCGTCAGATTTTTTTATAAACATTCTCCTATCTTATCGACAAATTTAGATTCTCATAATTTAATTTTTACTTTTCCATAATGCCATTGCTTAAATGGATCTGACTTTACACGAGTATAAAAGAAGGGCTTGTGAATCAAGTGCAGTATGAGTAAGAGATTCGGAGTAGGGTTGCATTTCCTTATTAGGAAATTGTTGATGCGTGATTTTAGACACCAACCAACCGACACGTGTACAACGTTGATTGATCAAGAGGCACACGTGATTGTGAGTAAAAAAAGAAATAAATGCAATAAAAGCGTTTTAAAGTGGTTCGGATGCTAAGGTAGTAAGTCCTACATCCACTGATTTGTATTAATAAAGTCGGTCAGGTCGCAGCAGTGGACTGACTTACAAAATGATTGACAAGAAAAATAAATACAATGTTGACCGAGTGAGAGAGAGCTAATTCCAAGTGTAAAATAGCCGAATCCCTTTAATGAATGGGTCTTCCTCTTTTTATAGTGAGGTTAGTGTAAGTAACCATCAGTAAATCCATGGGTTGGTGCGAATGTCAGGAGTAAATCCGGCTTTATGTCACATTTCCCACCTTCCAAACTGATTTTACGCGATTTGGAGCAGAGAAAAGGACGCGTGGGAGCTCCATGACTGCTGGCAGGCCTGACGTGGGTTTACCGTTCTGACAGGAGCAGGTCACCCTCCCATCACATGATCTCTTACGTCAGCCCTTGATTTTCCAGTAATAACAAAAGTCCCCTAGTTTTTAAGGTTTGAGGATTGAACCTTGGAAACTAAACCATTCCGGGATTGGAAATCTGGGTAGCTTTGACCTGAAGAACAGGAGCTCGGGTCAAAGCCTTTTGCGAATACATCCTTGCGCGAACTTCGCCTAAGCGACCTGAAAATCATCCTTAGGCGAGCTAGCCTCATCGGGCACCCCTGACTGCTTTAGCGATGAACCAAATGAGGTTATCTCTGCACTGACAGGTGCTCTGCGCGTGTCAGGTGCGTGTCAGGCGCATTAAACGAATTGTGTGCTGGCCCATAATTGCTTTGACAAAGCATTAATTGTGCAATAAATTCGAAACGACAACTCTCATCTCAGCATTGAATGCAGCGTGGGGCGCATTTAATGCGGGGAGAGAGAGGCGCGTCGCTTCGACTCTAGGGTGGTAATCGTCGTTTCGGAATCCATATAAAAAGTTGAATTTTTCAGATGGTACCACTAGTATCTTTTTGTCTTCGAGTGAGAGACTTTTGCAAAACGGAGACTTTCTTTTTACGATCGGCGTTTTTCCGATATCTGAAGCAGGGATTATCCTCGGTCACGCGACCCAGAAGGTAAAATCTTTTTCCTTTCCCCCCTTTTTGTTTATTTTGGTGTTGCAATGGCGTTGGGTCTTTTGATGTTTCATCAGAGACGTGACGCCGGAATCAGGTTCGGGTCGTGAATGGCGGCTCGAGCTACTGTTAGGGTTTAAGGACTATTCCACGCCGCCGTGCTAGGCGACATCCGATGGCTAAAATGACCTTGTCTGTCGGTATTGCAGACCTTTGGAATGGAACCCTCAACATCTCGACCTGAGGAAGGAGCTGGTTCGTCTTCGCGGGATGTCCCCGCGAACGTATCCCTCGATGTCTTCTTGGTTCTCACCTGAGAAGAGTTCGATTAGATAAAGAGGCAGTTCGACATCCGAGCAGAGGTGTTCCTCGACGCCATCAGGTCGTCGCGACATCCTGCCGACGGCCTAGCTGCGATCTCCGAAGAGATCTTCAAGGGTGGGGGAACGATTCCTTTCCACCCTTTTGTTAGGTCGGTCTTGGACCACTTCGGGATTGCACCGATGCAGTTGATGCCAAACGCGTATGTCATCGCAGTCGCGATGTACATCGCGTGCCGCGAGTGCGGCTTGGGCGAGCTAACTGCAGTGGAGCTCGGCGTCGCGTACTTCCTCAAGAAAAGCAAGGACACGGATTCTTACTACCTGTCCCGGCGACCTACCATCGCTGCAGGGATACATAGCTATCCCAGCAACGCGGGGGCCTACGAGATGAAGTTCTTCTTCTTCTGCTACGACGGCCACTGCCACTTTCAAAACCCGAGTAGGTTTCTCTTCGCTAGGTTTATTGGCTGTAAGCCTCTTTTGCTCTAACGACCTGTATTATTTTGCAGTTAACAAGACGACCAGCCAGGACTTGCTCTCCGACCCGGACAGGCTCGTCTCATTTGGAGTTCTTCCCGAAGAGAGCCGGGACGCGAGGAAGCTTGTAACAACTGCGAACTTGCGGAAATACGGCTTTCTTAGTGAGAGGGCATCTTTAGAGTCCCTAGAAGGTAAGTTACGCTGATACTCCTGGTCGCAGAATAGTTTTCGTTCGATTACTAACATATTCTCATGCAGCGACCATGCCTCCGAGAGAGTCCGGGCAGACCCGACGAGCACCGTTCAAATTCCCCCGC